ACAATAAAATCATTTGTGGCCAGACAAGAAGTCTGACTAATAGAGAAAAATTTCATTAACATTAGTCAATCCTTTCTGATCTAATGATGACACAACAAAACTGTTTGTTGTTTGTCACGGTATTTGTGTGAAATCCAGAAAGTAAAATTTATAAAGCAAATCCAAGATCCAATAATTTGCTCAACTGTACTGCTCAATTAAGAGCAAGTCCAGTGAAAAAACACAGGATGAAAAAGAAATAGTATGAAGGGGCTAGGATTGAGAAAGACAAATTTCATATGCATAAGATCTCATCCTCTTATAACCCTGTCTTCAGCAGACTTCAGTGAAGCACTTGAGAATCATAAACAAGGTCTACAATATTACACAATGGATTCTGAATGTGGGTTTTGAGCCTGTGGGTTTGGTTTTTGTTTTGCCATTATTAAGCAATTAGAACATGTGGGAATTTGCTTTGCCTTTTATGTTCCAATTAAGCATAATTTAAATAATAGTATTAAACAATATTAATTTTGTTGTAATAGACTACATAATCATACCCCAAAGCTGTAATATTAGTTATTTTATAAGAGAAGGCACTCCAATTCAAATATTAATACTATTTAATTATAAATAGTCATATAACAATTATGACTATGGTGGACCACCATATAAAACATTTCTCTAAAAATTATTGAAAAGCAAGCATTTTCTTCTTAATTAAAGACTACGAAGCCAGCCGGGTGACTTTGGGCCAGTCACTCTCTCTCAGTCCAAACTACCTCAAAGTGTTGTTTCTATAGGGAAACAAGATGCAGGAGTGCTTACTATGTTCACTACGTTGGGCTATATATAAAAAGGTGGGATAAAGACCTAATAATAATATAGAGATGAACTGGAATCAATTTCTACTTAGCTGATGTTTTTAGACTAATGAGACTTCAGACAAGTAACAGAAAACATGAACGACAATATAGGAAGCATATGACCAATACTAGAAATAAAACCTCACATTTTATATTGTGGTATTTGAAATTTTTTTTTCTAAAATGCTTGTTTACCAGAGACAAATCATACATCATAAAAGATCTCTGATCCCATTTCCAGTTCAACTTGAGCCATGATTCTAAAACTCAGTAATAAACAGTAATAATATTTAATTTAAATATTAAATTTTAAGTATATCTGAAGACAGATTCCAAGTAATCATTCACTCTTAGCTTTCTAGCCTCTGCTATAATTCATTAATGTTAGCAGAGGCTAGAAAGTAATGTTTTTTTACACCAGCAGTTCTCAAATTTGGTGCATGGACTATTGGGAAACCATGAATGATCCTCAAAGAGGTTATGAACCGGACACAAAACAATAGCAAGAAAACAAAACCATTCATTATTTCTCCAATTTCTTTCCTATTACTTTGAAAAACATATTTGGGGAAATTTTGTATTTATATCTAATTAAATTATTAAGGCAGTATATTCTATACTTTGTTTTACTCCAAAATATAGAATATACTAGATCAGGGCTATCAAACTCCAGCCCCTCGGCTGGATGCGTCATGAGCTGGCTATGTCCACACCCAGTTTAGGAAAGGGGAAAAAGTCCCAATACTTCACATTACGACACCGTGACGATGCGAGTTTGACACCCCTGTACTAGATATAATTATCACTGCCATGTTATGATGTCTTAAACTCTTTCTTGATAAAAGTTAAAAAAAAGTACCCAGCCATTAAGAACATTTGTTACTCAATCAAGTCAATGTGAATGAAGTAAAACTAAATTTTTCAAAAGTTCACTTATTTTTTTTAATGCCCAACAAATATCATATTTAATTTACGAGCACTTGATATTAAGGTGACAAGGAACCTTAATTTATTTACAATTTATTTACATTTTAACATAAATTGTGCATATAAATTTATTTATATTTTCCTGAAGATGTGTGTGTCCACAACTTTCATTAGATACTCAGAAGGATTGTGAACACAGAAAGATTAAGAAACTCTGGTTTACATCATAACTAGCTCAGATATAAGACAATTCTACCATTTAAAAAAATCAAGCTAAAGATTTCTAAATAAAATAGAGCTGAAGAAAAAAGACATCCTGATCTAGGATTGTTTTCAATAATCATCCACTATATTGGTAGCCATCTGTCCAAGATTTTTACAGATAGTTAACCATGTCCAACAATCAGAATTACAATTCTTTTCAATAGTTGTTTTTTCAGTGTATGCCACTGAACAAAAGTCTATACCCATGAATAGATTAATTCTTCTTTCTTTTGACAGACATTGCTTGGAAACAATTCCCCTTTGTTTAAGCTAAAACATTGGATTTCAACTAGCTAAAATCAAATGTCTATTAATATTAGAAAGATTTCCACTGGTCCTTGATGGTATATAGGCTACCCCAATGTTCAATTTCTGTTAAAAAGTTTAAGTATCCTTCAGTTTACACTCAACTTCTGTAACTCTTTGGGCATGATTATGCTTTTAATGTAAGAGTGGTTTGCTCTTTTCAAGTTCAGTTTACAACTTGTTTATGATTTTCCATCTAAAGTTACAAATCTATATTCAATAGATCTGGTTGTGGATCAAGAATCTCTGAGGAATGAACTAGTACAAGAACAAGATAATCCACAACCAAATGATGCTGTAACCATCCTATTTTCAGCCAGGCAGGCTGCTTGAATCTTTATATAAAGATTGAATAGAAGATATTACAATTTAACATTTCCAAAACCAATTGCTAGTATTTAGATACAATGTAATAGGTTTCATTTTTATGTGTGTCTCTATTTAAATGAATATTCATATATTAGACCATGCATGTACAACACCATTTATTTCAATTGAGGTTGAACTTTTTTATAAATTAAGATATATTACCAATCGTCTTCACTTAGCAAAACATGAAATAGCATGGTTTATAAACACTGCTTTCAACCATTACAAAATGCAGAGGTCATCATAACATACTATGGTTAAAAATGGCCAGACGTAGTACTTCTGTGTTTGGACAAATGCTTAACTGTAAATTAGCCATGTTGTCACTTGTAGCAAGAAATAGCAAGAACTAACAACAGTAAAATATAAGATAGAATTATTTTATGCTTAAATTTGGTCCTCTTGTGCTATTATTATTATTCCCAAATGAAACTCTCCAGAATCAAAGGCATACTCAACAATAAAATGTGGTTACAGTTTGACATATTACAGATGTTTTGTGAACAGTCTTATGTCAAACCAAGAGAAACGTTGAGCCTTCATCTCTGGGTTTTTAAAAAAACTTCTTAGCCTATTACATATCCCATTCAAGTATTTAACCAGGCCAATCCTTTCGCCAACCAAGTTCAATAACATACCGCCAATTCCTGAACCCAATTTCTAACCATCCTTTAAAAAGATTCAATCATACTTTTTCAAACTATGATTTCTCCTTTGAAAAGAAATAATTATAGCAAATAAACTTCTCTGTATTGATCATTTTGCACAAATTATTGACCTTAACACTAAAGTCAAATATGTGTGGTAATCTTTCAACAAAAAACAGTTGGTAACATGTTGTGCAAAAGTTGTATCAAGAGAACAAATGTCAGAAGTTTTTACAAAAGTAAAAACAATCTGAATATTAACAATTAGACAATGTAAGCATCTACTTTGGGTGTTCAACAGTCAATTAGACCATGAAAAAATGTACCTTAAATTAGTGTTCGCAAAATCTTTGAGACTGAATTTAATAGAAAGTCTAAACCTTACCCACATGAACCCAATAATATTTCCTAAAAGTTTTCAAGAATAAAATCTTAATAAGTAAAGAAGATAGGTTTTAACTATTCTTAGGAGAGAATAGATTCCTCTGTCCACTTATTTCAAAGGAAAACAAAATGAATTAAAATAGAAATACTAAATATAAAGGAATTGTAAATGCCAATTGCATTGTTGTCCAAAGTATATCAGTGACAGTAGGAGGGAGAACATTTTAGGTTAAAAAAAAAAAAAGCTTCTAAATGCAATTGAACCTGTGTCGATCCACACAGGTCATTCATGGAGGAATGTAAAAAACCTTCATGTTAGATCCAAACAAAGGTTATTTAGAGACCAATGGTATATCTATCCCAAACAGGATATGAGCATAATAGCACCTTTTTGCTTATGCTTCCTAATAAGTATTGGGATAATAAGTATTGAAGTATTGGGTAATAGGTATTGAAGGACCTATTCTTTCCAATATTAGAGGTAACATACTAAGATAACCTTATTTTCCAGCAAACCTCAGATCAATAGGGCCCACCTTATCCACCTCCAACGTTTTCTTAGCCCCAAACAATGTTCGTTTAGAAAAGAGCTTTCATGATATATGCACGAAGTAACTGAACATGGTGGAGGAGCAACACAGTTTACATTCAGAGTGCTTGATGATTATCATAATTACTGACCTAACTAGCGGGGGTAAAAAAAGGCTCTCATTCCCGAGTTGGCGGAGAGCAGGAAATGAGAAATCTCTCCTTTTAGGGGTGGTCGATGCGGTCCCCCCCCCCTTTTTTTTGAGGACTAGGGGAATTACTGGGTTCAGTAGAGCATGGCTTGCTTGTCCTCCTTCGGAGTGAGAAAATGATACACTGGGAGAAAAGCCTGGCTTTTTCCCACCCCCCACCCCACGGAAAACTCCCAAGCAAGGCGTGGAAAGCTGCAGAGGAAATCGGGAGGTCCCAATCCGGGCAGGCCAAGTACCCCCCCACCCCATCTCGGAGACAAACGGAGGCCTTACCCACGGAGGCATGGAAGGAGGGCGAGAGTGAAGGGGCAGGAGGAGAAGCGGCTCCCCCGAAGGAGGTTTTCTCCACGGGAAGAGAAGGGATGGAGAGCAAACGGCGGCTGAAGGAGGAAAGCCTTTCGCCCCCTTTGCAGCAAGGGATTCATTCCTCTGCAGCTACTCAGCCAGCAGAAGCGTGGGGGGGGGGGGGGGGGGGGAAAAAAAGGGGGGGGGGGAGCCGGGCGCCCTCGCCTTCCTACCTGCGCGGCCGGCGTTGCCATTTCGGCTCCTTCTGCTCAAGGAGGCGGGGGTCCTAAGCCTCCGGGCCTGACCTCCACGGCCACCGCCTCCCCCACTACCGGAACGGCAGGGACAACCGCGCCAGGGACCGCAGCGGCCATGGAGGAGCCGGAGCTGCTGCGGACAGCGGCGGAAAAACGACCAACCACCGGAACCGCCGCCGCCGCCGCCGCCGCCTCCCGCGGCAATCCCAATTCACTCCCCGATTGATGGGCAGCGAACTCCGCCCTCTGCTCCGCATCCTTTGCTCCGTCTGGCCAATTAGGATCCGGGCCCCGGCCTCTCGGTTCCCTCCTACCTGGCCACATTCTCCAATAAGGATCCAGCTTTCGCCAAGGCACCGGATCCTGGTCCCGCCCCTTTAGATGCCTCCGTTCATAGAGCAAAGCGAAGGAGATGAAGCCACCCGCGGCGCCCAGGCTCGGCGATTGAGGAAGGAAAACCTGAGAGGGGCGGGAATATTAACCCCACCTCTAAGACTTCCACCAATAGGGCCTCGGGAAGCAGCAATAGACAGTTCTTTCCACCTATCTTGGATTTGTAAGGCAAATGGGGCGGGGGAAAGTTATTAGCCCCCTTGAGCTCAGAAATAATAACGGGCGCGGGAACGCGGAGCGTCTGAGAGGGGATTAAAAAAAGCTCAGGATCTATCGGCTTTGAGAGAAAAATAAAAGGGGAATTTTTTTGGGTAGCGGGGTGGGAATATCTGAAAAACTCGGACGATACAGATTTCGAAGTGTAAGGAAGAGAGAGCATTCCGGAGACGGGACGTGGAAAGGGAGGAAAATACTCCCGTTTCCCGAGACTCCAGCTGTGAGATTTACCAACGTCTGCAAGAATTTACGGGAATGACAAAGCGACCAGCCAATGAGATTTAGTAACGGGCGCTTCTTCAGGAAACCAACATCTCAAATTGCAAAATTACCCCGCCCTTCTCTCTGCGTCGAGTCTCTGTGTGCGGCTGTTCCTTGCAGGAGATAAATAACAATATTTCCATTAATATCGAAATCCACAGATTATAAACTCTTTTAAGAAGGAAGCGGGAAATAGCTTCCTATATCAATGCACTAGGATACATATAATATTCCTGCAATGTATTGTAGTAACACATCTGCACAAATGTAAACGGTATTTAGTCACGGCAAGGAGCTGCATTCTGTATCTGCTGCCTTTCCGGTTTTTGTAGCATAGATGGGGTATTGTATTCCAACGTGGGGTTTTTTTTCTTTCCTTCGCCGACCAGTATAATATATGCATTGTATATGATGCTGGGACGGAAACGAGGAGCTTCTGCACACGCGAAGGATGTTCTCTAACGCTGCTCAACGCCTCTTTAGAGAGAGCTTGGCCACTGCTGCCACCAGGTTGTCGATGGACTAAAAAGTTCAGTGCTTTGGTGTCTCTAGCAAGGAGTATGCAGCTGGGAAACTGCAGAATTTTTTCCCCCTGGGATCACACTTCTGTGCCTAGTTCAAGGTACTAAGATACCGTATCTATAAATTTCCACAAGAGTCTTTTCAATTGCTAAACTAGTTTTATGTATTTTTATCTCCAAAAACCAATCGCTACTTCAGACACCAAACTAACACTTTTTTCTTTCCCAGCGCTTTTGAAATACTTTACTTATTTGGTATATTTAAAATATCTCATCTTCTTAATGAATATACAACCCTCAAAAGTTTGATTTGATGGTTTTTATTTGATTATGTTTTATTCCTTTTAATTACATTTGTAAGGCTCCGAGCGTCTTAGCCATTGGCTCAGTGGCTAAGACGTTGAGCTGGTCGATCGAAAGGTCGGCAGTTCAGTGGTTTGAATCCCTAGTGTCGCGTAACAGGGTGAGCTCCCTTTACTTGTCCCAGCTTCTGCCAACCTAGCAGTTCAAAAGCATGTAAAAAATGCAAGTAGAAAAATAGGGACCACCTTTGGTGGGAAGGTAACAGTGTGCCGTGTGCCTTTGGCGTTTAGTCATGCCAGCCACATGACCATGGAGATGTCTTCAGACAACGCTGGCTCTTTGGCTTTGAAACGGAGATGAGCACCGCCCCCTAGAGTCAGGAACGACTAGCACATATGTGTGAGGGGAACCTTTACCTTTACCTTAAGGCTCTGAGCATACCTTAGTTGAGATTTTCTTATACTTTTTAATCTAGAAACTATAAACTTAGTTACCAATCTGTTGTGTTGTGTGTTGTGTGAAACGTTTCCTGCTAATGATAAGGATTGTATATCCCTTTTTAGCACACTTTGCCCAATATGGCACTGCACAGGCTCAACTACAGCAGCTTTATTCCCAACATACTCACTGTTCTGGTAAACTGGCATATACAGTGTGTTGACGCATACTTAGGTGCCACAATCTGGTTTATTTACAAATATATGCCCAACCATATTACCACAGAGTAGCAATTCAAAACAGATTCTCCAGTTTTCTGCTTTCCAGCTCAACTGGACTATGACTTCATCCTCCCCCAGCAATGCAACCAGTGGCTATGTTGGCTGAGAATGGTGGAGTGATGCTCAACCCATCTGGAGGTCACCAGGTTGGGAAAATTGTAGAACAGCTCATTCCAAACTATCTGGCTACACTCTCTTTGTTTTGCTAAATGCAATAAAATTACACGCTTCGGACATTGTTGGTTACCAGAACAGATTTTATCAGAACAGCTTTTAGCAGGATAATTAATTTGGTTACATAAGGCACTAATGTAAATTTTGATGTTAACAAGCATTTCTGCAAGGTTGTGAGTATAGATGTGTAGGCATGAAAACATTGCCATGAGGGAAAGGTTGGAGCCAAATGTTAGCATTTATTTACTTATTTTACATATTTTTGAACCATGCATCTCAGAGAGGGAGGAATTCTCACTACTAAAATATTGACTTCCAGGTAAGGAATGGTGAGTTAACACATCTCTGAAGGAAAAATGCACTTCAGCCAAGACTGATGACCTGGTGGTGAACCTGGACCAATGGAATCTCTGCAGCCAAGGACAGTATGAGAGATCATCTGCTTGTGCTCCATATATCTTCTCCTTGCAAGGACACCTAGGAGACAAGGAAAGTCATTAAGCTCTCAATTGTAGCAGGGCCTGTATCAACACCAGCTTCATCAAACCTCACTTTTTAAACACTTAAAAATCTAACAAAACCTCCAAGCAAGAGTATTTGCGTCTGTATGACAAAATAGAATGCCTTTTCTCCACATACAGGAATAATAGAAAAGGTGTCATTAGGATTCCAAAAGGGAGAGGTGTGGATGTATTTTCCAAGTCCTGTAAAATATTGTTAAATTAAGTAAGCATTTTATTTATATACACAAGGTCCTCTAACTGTTCTTAGAGTATTTCAAATGTTTGAATCTGCAAATTCACACATGGAGGGCCTCTGTTTTGATCATTTTTTCTAAATGGATATATTTCTATATTTCAACTGCCCTGTAGATGTCTTGTTAATTGCCCTATGTTTTAAAAGAAATATATGCCTTTTATGAGAAATACCACACCCAAGGATGTGTAAATGTCTCATCTTCCCCTTTTTGTGGTTAATTTTGTAGTTAATTTAAACTGTGTAAGAAGAACAATTAATGCCTTGTGCCTCCTATAGATGAAAATTGTCAATTGCATTTCAAAGAATGTTGTTATAATGTTTTCAAAATACGAAGGATACCCCCTTCCTTTTCTACCTATCTCCTTTTCCTTATTTTGTAATTATATCAGTATGGTTGGAGTATGGTGTTTTACTAGCAGCGCACACACTTGAGTTGTTTTTGACCATTTATTTTCTCTAGAATATCTATGTAAGACTGAGATTTTTGTTATTGGCTCATCTGAGGTTCACAGTAACTTAATAGTTTTGGAAAATAATTAGAATATATGGATTTTGTCATCTCATTTGGATCCTTGTGACATTTTACAATAGTTCCACTACATTTATTAGGTTTACAAAGTTAAAAAAAAATCTTTACTTCAAATTTTATTTATTTTATTACAGCAAACATAATTTTGCAAACAGTACTTCCAAATATTAATACTTTTGGATGCAGGTATTTGTATCCATTTCCTGAGCTGAGAACTACACCACAAATTAAAATTCATCACCATCATCAGAATTGGACCTTGGAGGTGTTCTAGTCCAACCCCCTGCTCAAGCAAGAGACCCACCCTATACCATTTCAAACAAATGGATGTCCAGTCTCTTGTTAAAAGCCTCCAGTGATGAAGCACCCACAACCCCTGAAGGCAAATCGTTCCACTGGTTGATTGTTCTCACTGTGAGGAAGATGTTTGTATTCTGCTTTTTAAATTAATGGTAATTAATTGAACATATAAAAGTGATTACAGAGCATACCAATACCAATTTAAGGAAAGAAGAATGGGAGAAGAAAAGAAGAAAGTGTCTTAAACATCTTTCTGGTGTATCTGGTGATATTGTCCTTGTCTGTGAGGGAGCAACAAAGCAATAAGAAATCGTACCAGTTAACTTCCATCTCTTATACGATTTCTTATTGCTTTGTTGCTCCCTCACAGACAAGGACAATATCCAATGGAGAAGATAGGAACAGAGAGGACATTTTGACCAAGGAGATGAAATCTAGAATCTTTTTCCTCTTCATTCTGCAGGCATCTCCTCCTTTTAAAATATAGACTGTAATGCCACCTGTATTTTGGCCCATTATCCCATTTCTTCATATACTGTATAAAACTATCTTTTTTTGTTTCCTCTACTATCATAAAGGAAGGAGTCTGCAGATTTTACTCTGCTAGTCATAACCGACTAAAGGGGGCAATGTTCATCTCCATTTCAAGGCCATTGAGCCAGCACTGTCCAAAGATTTTTCCACAGTCATGCAGCCAGCAGGATGTCACGGGCCAGTCTTACCTTCCCACCGAAATGGTACCTATTTATCTACTTGCATTTGCATGCTTTCGAATTGCTAGAAATAAGTCAGTGGGGATTCAGAGAAAAGCCTAAGGGATTTTCAAGAAATGTGAATATACAGCTGGGTAGGTTTAAATTTCAGAAAAGAAAATGGATCATAATGGAACAGAATTTCTTATTTTTACAACTTTGGATAGAAGTGGTGTATGAAAAGGTATTTATAATTTACTATTGCAGGTTTTTATAACTGGAGAACAGTATGCACAGATTTTGTTTATAGTGGGCTGCCTCTAAATGTAGCATGTTGTATCCAGCATTCTCACTGATTTAAAACAAAAAACATGCATATGAGATTGCACCAGTGAAAAAAGATAATCACGAGTAGTTATGACTATTTCTGATACATTCCATACCAGCAAAATGGTTATAATTCTTTTAATCAAATTTATGGAACATAAGAAGCTGCACATACTTAGTAAAGCTTTTTGTTCCCATAGCTAATATTGTTTTCTGCAATGGACACTTGCAATCTAGGATCTCAGATGGAATAATTTTCTCCATCAACTGATTTTAACTGAAGATGCTAGGGATTATGTCTGCAAAAGAAGATGGCCTGTTAGTCAGCTATAGATTGAAGGTTCTTCACCAAGGACAACTTGCTTTTGAAAGAGCTCCCTTGTGCCCACTGTTGGAAGCTGGTCTTGTTTTACTTCTGGAGGAGAACCAATTTTAAACATAGATATAGAAATTAATGCAAATTTACTAGGTAGAAGAAAAAGGCATTTGGTGGAATAGAAATATCTACTTTGGATACTATTCAAGTAATGGCTTTTCTGACGCAACACTGTTAAGTCACAGTTTGTTTCCTAGGGAGGCATTCCTGAAGTATTACAGAATAGAGCTGGCCAATCGCATTCTTGCACTTAACAATGGGCAGCTGTGAAATGACAGCTGTTAGGAGCAACAACATGCATCTTCTCAACTGCTACCCTTAGTAATGTCTTTATACAAGAGACTTGTGGGAAATTAAAATAAACTAATATGATAACATTGAAGAATTTTATCAGAATCAAGTCACTCAAATGTAACTAGCTATCATTACCCTGTAGATGGTGCACCACACTTTCTAATAGCTGTAGCTCAGGCAGAGAAATTTAGTTCAATTATTCTGATACCTTTCTGATAATCTCTGCCAAACCAATTAGGACCAAGTTGGACTTGAAGATTCGTATTTGACTCCTATCTTGGCATGGATTGATTGTGAGGCTTTAAGCAAATTCTTACTCTCTGTCTCAAATCAGAGAAAAACTAATAATTTCAGCAAGCCATCTACAGATAGTAGGGACTACAACCCTTTTTCCAAATCAGTTTAAGTCTTGATGTTTTCGTATTTACAGTGGATAAAAGAGAGCCTTTTTATTATCTTCTTTATATGTACTATCATTACTTTTATAAGCAATAATTTAACTGCTTCAATATCAGATCGAGCAGTCTACCCATAAGTTTTGTTATCTTCTTTGTATAGAAGGCCTGTAAACTTTCAAAGACAATTTACTACATTCCCCTGTAAGCAGGGATGGGTTCTAAAATTTTTTACTACTGGTTCTGTAGGTGTGGCTTATTTTGTGGACGTGGCTTGATGGTCATGTGACAATTATTTAGGATTTAGCAGAGGTACTGGTCTTAACTGCTTGCAGAGCTATACCAATCTACCCATTTATTTTTTGCAGGCACTGGTCTACCCATTTATTTTTGCAGGCACTGATCTACTCATGTATTTTTGCAGGCACTGGTCTACCCATTTATTTTTGCAGGCACTGATCTACTCATGTATTTTTGCAGGCATCGGTCTACTCATTTGTTTTCTTTTAACACTGATCAGCTGTAGGGCAGCCCTTTGAAGTCCCATAGCCACAATTTAAATAGTTTTTTTCCCTCTAGCCATCAGCTAGGACTCAGGAGGCAGCAATGGATTGGGGGTGGGGCCAAATAAAAGGTAAGAATAATGTGGGGGTGGGGGGATGCAGGGGGTGGGGTGGGCAGAACTGGTTTGGTGAGGTCATATCGTCACCGCTACCGGTTCGGGAGAACCAGGCTGAACCGGGAGGAACCCACCACTGCCTGTAAGGCAACACTGACTTTGGCAGAGACTCCATTAGAAACTTCTTAGCATCACCCAGCCATTGTTGAAGCATTGTAAAGCCTTGCATCCATATTCTGATTTCAGCACAACAATACTTGAATGACCCTGGAAAATATTTCAAGTCAGTGTTGGGCATCCTGCCTCAGCTATGATTTCTAAGTAAAGGTGCTGTTCCATACTTGAGACATAGCTGAGAGTAGTGGTGGGATTCAGCCAGTTTGCACCACTTTGGGAGAACCGGTTGTTAACTTTCTGAGCAATTTGGTGAACTGGTTGTTGGAAGAAATCATTACGGCAGAGAACCGGTTGTTAAATTAGTTGAATCCCACCACTGGCTGAAAGTCACGCAAAATCCTTTTCTTTCATTCAGTTATCCATTCACATCTCATCTTCCTTTTAGGAACTCACTATGTGTATCCCCAACGGAGCTGAGACAGGGACACAGAGGGTAGAACATACTTATGGCATAGTTTGTACTCCTTTAATTCAGAGCCAAGCTGTAAGAGTTTTCTTCCCATTGATTTCAATAAAACAACACCTCTACCCCAGGGAGTATCCAGACATATTATCATGACAGAGCATATAATAAGGAATAAATCAACATTCAATTCCAGCATATGACTGCCAGCATATAAACTGCATATAGGAAAGTCTGATAGGGTTTGTGATATGTAGATATATTTAAGAGAGAGAGATTATAATATTATGATCTGTGAGCTTCTTGCAAAGGAGACACTTTTCTAAAGATTCTAAGACAGGAATGGTTAGTAGCAAGAGCAATAGTACTTAGACTTATATACCGCTTCATAGTGCTACAGCAGAGGTGGGTTTCAGCAGGTTCTGACCAGTTCTAGAGAACCGGTAGCAGAAATTTTGAGTAGTTCGGAGAACCGGTAGTAAAAATTCTGACTGGCCCCACCCCTATCTATTCTCTGCCTCCCAAGTCCCAGCTGATTGGGAGGAAATGGGGATTTTGCAGTATCCTTCCCTTGCCATGCCCACCAAGTCACGCCCACCAAGCCAT